GGAATGCACTACAGTGCCAACCATGGCATATATTAGGATCACCTAGGGAGGTTCTAAAATATTCTGATGTCTCTACCTGATCCCTGACGACTAAATGAGAATCTCTAGGGATGGGTTGCAAGCGTCGGTATTTTTTAAAGTTCCCTGAGTGATTCTAGTGTGCAGCCAAGGTTGAAAATCCCTACCACAGAATGGAACACAAAGCAAAACACATAGGGGTTATCTGCTACAACCAAAGCAGTGACAAAAATACATCTATGGGATAATTTTAATTGAAAATATGCATAGATCAGCTCTGGGACTAACATCCAACAATCCTAAAACTTTTCTGCCTACAAGAAATACTTCTCAACAACTGCAACTATAAAGATGCATGACAGTTCAAACAACATGGATTTTGAAGACATGTTTAAACACTAAAGTGTGTTAATCAGATATCCTAGGAGAGTATTACTGAGCTGGAGTTCTATGCCTCCTCTGAAAGATAACCAGTTACCCAGAGCCTGAAGACACATATGCTGCGGGACAGGAAAGTGTTCAAAAGCATTCACCATACCTTTCGTCACATGTTTAGAAACCTAAACTTAGAGACAACAACGGGAAGGTGAATCCATACTTAAACACAAGTATACTACAACCATAAATGAAGTACGATGGCCAGAAAAGCAAACGGTAATGTTTTCTGTGCTCAACGACAGCACTATGTGAACAAAAGGTCAATGGACACACTGGTACCAATGATCAAGAGTCGTGTACTTGGATGTACAGTAAAAGCCTTATCAACAGGCCCATAACAAGCAGAAATCTGCAGAAACCAGTGTATCAGCAAGTCCCATAACATAAATATAATATAAATCTTCATTTGTAAAGACCAACTACTAATGCTGTAGCTACTGGAATCAATGGCAAGCTGCTCAGAAAAGAGCCAGCTGCTATAGTTCTGCTTATGACAACAGCCATCTCAGGCTGTAAGAAGCACAGGGACAAGTGAGAGATGAGACGGAGATGGATGGGGTGCACTGTGTACCACAGAGCCAACAAACCATTCCTCTGGCTGCCTTGGTAACAATACTGGATTATAAGACAAGCAGGAACTTCAAGCATGATTTAACTCATGTTTCTCTTTTTACTTTTTCTGATAAGTCATAATTCAGGCTATATACAAAATTATTACAAAGTACGAAACAGAAAATTATCATCCATAACTCTATGCCCCAGAGACAAGTATTAACATTTTTAAAAAGTTTCTTTAATCTTCTTCCCGTGCATTTGCATCTTCTAAATGATTAATATCAGTTAACTCTTAATTAACCAGAGCATAATTCAGTATATCATAGTGTTATGAGTTTGCCAAACAGTATAGCTGTTACTATACTGAGAATTTTTAAATATATCACAAGGCTACTTAATACCTAATCTCTCTGGGGGAAAAGAAAAGTTTATACTAAAAAATAAATTAATGACTTGGTTTCACTCTACTTGTACTTAAATCTTTTATCCTAAGTAGTCCTTAATCAGTGGAATTAGTGGAACATAGGAAAATGAGGTTTGAAATAAAACTTCCTCTAAGGAAACTGAATGGCCTTCAAAAGTAACTATTTTTACACAGCTTAGTTGGTGCTTCCACTGTGAAAATATTGCTATAACTTGAGTTAACTTGCAGTTTGTATGACTCAAACATTTACTAACTGTTTACTACGGCCAGAGCCATTACTGTGAAGGGTATGAAGAAGATGAAAACATGACCCTTTCCCTTCAGAGCCTCACAATTTAGAAGGGAAAACAATTACACAAAAAAGTAACTGTAATTGAAGGCAGGCTGTGATCTGTGTAATAAATAGGGGTACAAAGTACAAAGGAAAACGGGAAAGTTAGAGTACTTTTGTAAATATATATTTATGCTACTGAATTTTACACTGACAAACATCTAAAAATAATTCAATCAGAATAAGAAAATGAATTTAATCTGAGAAAAATCAATGGGAACTTAAAATACTTGTCAGTCAACTGTCTGATTTAAATAAGCATGTTGCAATAAATCAGGAGTCTTATTTTGTTAAATTAAAAATTTAAGCAAACGAATTTTAGACAAGCTAAAATTCATCTTGCTAATGGGAATTAACCTTGTAAAATCAAAACTCATTTGGGCAACCCATCTGTTTCCAGAATTCCACCAAAATATGGATCTCACCTACCTGTCACAATGAGAACTGCCCCTTGAACTACTCTGTCCTGATTCATGTTGTGCATCCAAAAGAATCTTCTCCATGTCTCCATTGTGGATAGAGGATGAAGAAGGTACATGTTCTAGTCCCCCATTTTTCCCATTGCCATTATCATTGCCATTGCTGCTGTTCATTGGCAGCTCCACCCAGGAACCTGTTGGACAAGTCAGATAAGTTAACTACAGCAGAACTGAAATCTGTCGTGTGCACACAGATGTGAATATGGTGAATTCAGATAAGAATTCTAACTTGCCTCAAACCAACACAAAAGCATTCTGAAAAAAATAAACAAGAAGCAGTAAAAGTCTAAAAGTCTATAAAGTTTTGTTCCTAAAGTACATGCAGTCATTCAATTTAGAACAAGCTGGAACTCTAAAATTCATAAAAGTCTCTAGCCATTTGTCTAGTTAAACCTTAGTTTATGTACAATCAATAATAACTTTGCTTTGAGGTCGCTTTTCAGAAAATAAAGTTACTTTACCACAAGATAGGCTACTCACCTTTAATTTTTAGGATTATATATATACATATATATATACACTATAATATACATATATATAACTGTGTATATACATACATAAACACACACACATACAGATATTCCATAGTCTACCTCAGCTATTTAATCATGTGCTGTCCACAAATGAAATAAACATATGGCTTATAAATTTGTAAGGGTCATCTAAATAAGTTAACAACTATATACTAATTAGCACAAACAACTGAGACTCTCAAGAGGGAACTTAAATACAATCACAAAAATTTCAATTTGTGTACAAATCTAGAGCATAAAATAAATACAGCTGGCTTTTAACTGAGGTGACAATGCTAAAAATTCTGAAAAAAGCTTTAGCTCTACCCCACTAATTTCTTTTCCTTTATACCTCACTTTTCCTATTCTTTCTCCCTTTTCTATACACTAAGCATACCTTGTGAACTGGTCTCTTTTCTCTTCTTTCCCACAAGTTCCTACTTTCTAGAGTTTTCATTAAGCCTTGTTGGTTTCAGGGGAGAAACAAGTATGCATCTGCTACAGGCAGACATTAATTTTTCTTAGGCAGATAGTCCAAGGGGGTGGAGCCACAAGAAAAAAGAGAAGTGGCATTGGTAATCTGGATGTCTTGAAAATATTTATTGGTCCAATGAGTTTGCTGGTGCTTTAATTTTAATAAGAATCGATAACAGCAGCCAATAAACTTCACAACAAAAAGAGGTATGGTGTATTTTCTTCATAATTTCCATTCCCTACAGTAAATTTTGTTTAAAAAAATGTAAGTTAAAACCAAGCAGTTTGGTGATGCCATTCCTCTAAACTCCCAGCAGAAGCATTAGAGACTTCCCTGCTGAACAGTCTTCCATCAGTAAATCAAAATAATCATCAAAACAGGCTCAAACCCTAAAATGCACTCTACACAAGGGGCTAACTATACCAGAAACAGAACTGAACACAATATCATCCTTACATGAAGGAAAAGCTCAAAGGTTGACTTGGTTAGAAATATGGCTCCACCAAGATGTACAATCTTCTGAGTTTCAGGTTCTTCATTTGTAAAACAGTCAATAACACAGTATAAGTAAAGTACCTACCTTACAGGGCTGGTGTAAAGATTAAATGCAGTAACACACATAATGTGCCTGCTGCTGTTGTTGTTAGCCACTGTCGAGTCAGTTCTGACTCATAGCGACCCTATAGGACAGAGATGAACTGCCCCATATGGTTTCCAAGGAGCGACATGGTGAATTCGAACTGCCGACCTTTTTGGCTAGCAGCTATAGCTCCCTGTAACTCTTAACCACTGCCCCACCAGGGCTCCAGATAATGTGCCTAGTAAGTAGGAAATGCTCTGTTACATGCTAGTTAAAAGAATTTTTATTTGTAACATACTTAGAAAAATGTATTTGCTAAATAAAAATTAAGTTACCCTTTCTTCCTTTTTTATCCATTTATGTCAGCCCCAGTGGTTGTCCCAGCCCTGTATCAGCTGCTGTCAAGTGGACCTGACTCATGACAAACTCACGTGTATTAGAATAGCACTGTGTTTCATAGGGTTTTCAATGGCTGATTTTTCAGAAGTAGAGCACCAGGTCTTTCTTCTGAGGTGCTTCTGAATGGACTTGAACCTCCAATCTTTTGGTTAGCTGGGCGCATTTACTGTTTGCACCACCCAGGGACTCCGCCACAGCCCTATAATCACTACCAATTACTTGAGACTGCACTGCCAAACAACAAAGTTGTATGACATCTCCATAGCCTAGCTCAATATACACACGAAAATGGACACTGACTAGACAGAAATAAAAATGGATCAACAAATTCAACTAGCAAATCTAAGATAGATCTAACATTGAAAATAAGTTAATATTTGGAGTGCCTCTGTGTGATAGTTAATGTTATGTGTCAACTCAGCTAGGCCATGATTATTATGTATTATGTAGTCACCTCCATGATGTGATCTGATGTGATCAGCCAATCAGTTGCAAGGGTTTCCCCTGGGAGTGTGGCCTGCACCCGATATGTATGTGTATATATATATATATATAT